AGTTTGAACACCTGTCAAATTACACGCTTTGTTGATTTGAAAATAAGTGTGAAAAATAAGTGTGTGAAAATAAGTGAACACATCCTGTACAGGGAACAAACATAAACGTGGTATATTTCTAAAGAATTTGATTTTAGTATCTGCTGACTTTAACATATTGAGGAAAAATGTATATAAAGTATAAAATGTGCCATACCTTTTGCACAGGCCACATTTTATGTTACACTATATGTTAAATTCAGGAAATAAACATGAAGTTTAAGTGTGCATTAAAATGTGGAGGGACATGTTCTCTGTAGAGGATCAAGACAGTATTATTTGATCAGGGGTGCCCAAACTTTTGCATGTGACTGTGTATACACATACAGTGAGGTTCAAACATCTGAAATCATCAGTGCTTCTATTTTGCATTCTTTTCTAAATGGACACATTTTAATTAGTGTAAAACATATCACTGCATTCGACAGTGTAAGTTCAATGTTAAAATCTATCAAATTTTAACATGAATTTTAAAATTTCTTAGTATTTGGTAGAATGTGTCCTTCTTTAGCTTTAATGCTGGCACGCATTCAAGCTGCATGAACTCCATAAGCGTGGGCAAAATCTTGTGATGAGCACATCATATCCACCTAAGAGTCATCTCAGCACGAGCTTCAAAGAGAGGAGACCCAAAAACTGTCTGACCTTTTTGTACAAAGGCCTTAACACGGTCAACGTCACCCATCTAAAATTTAAACATGTGCCAAATCTTTAGTGATTACTTCATTTTACTTATCATAATTTTTGAAGACCACAGTGACACAGATTAAACTGGGTGTTTGTCTTCTTTTTGCTGGTGTCTGATCTCAGTGTGACAGCCTGAATATAATCACTCTTAGTATTTCAGGTACTGAAGAGTGATTATCATAATTTTAACTTTCTAAAATTACAAAACTTTGTTTTTTTTCCTCCAGATTTAAAGGAAAAAGAAAGCCTTCAGACTTTTGGAGGTAAGTAATATTTCACTGAATATGTATTATGCAAAGGCAGCCTCTGAGAAAATGATATTGTCGCTGTCTAAAGAAAACGTCTTCATTTTTGGCGAATTTTATTTTTCTATGCCATTTCAACACACCTGCTGAAAATTTCAGGTCCCACTTTATATTAAGTGTCTCTAATAACTGTGTAGTTACACATGAATAACATATGCAACAACACTGTAACTACTGATGATTTAGTCAGTGTTACAGATGGGTTACAGAAGTACAGCCTGTGTAATTACACATGTGTATCAACTTCAGTTTTGCCTCATGTAATTACACAAGTGTATTTTATTGATACACTACAGATCAGAAGTTTTTTTTTCCAGCAGCTAAAGGAAGTATGTTTTACATAACATTGTTTATTTTTAACATAATTACTCTGGAATAACTGTGTTGTAAGATGGTAAACCTAATCACATCACATCGACTATACCATTCTGTAATTACACTGTACTTACATAACAACTACACAGCAGCTTTACTGTAGTGTAGTGTTAGACTTTTCTGTTAGGACAGTTCCTGTGTAGTTGTTATGTAGGTATGGTTTAAAGTTAAAAGTGGTTACAATGTCACAGCATTAGCAACATACACGCTAGCCAAATGTTAGGAAAGCTGGCGGATACAGTGCAAGTAATGTCTTAATGTAAGTTATCACATACTTCCTTTTACTGCTGGAAACAAAACTGGTGTTGGAGTCTGATTACAAATGTAATTACATTTTTATTACTACCCTTGTGTAATTACATGAGAGAGAATAGGCTGTTACAGCTATTAAGATACACTTGTGTAATTCTATTAGGCACAACTGAAGTTGATACACTTGTGTAATTACATAAGGTGTACTACTGTAATCCATCTGTAACAGTGACTAAATCATTAGTAGTTACATTGTTGTTGCATATGTTGTTCACATGTAACTACACAGTTATTAGAGACACTTAATATAAAGTGGCACCAAATTTCACTATGAATGGACCAATGGAAATGGAATAAAATCTCTTTACATTGACTTACATTAAAAGGTAAGAGTGTTTTTGCCCTCTCCTGTACAGTTACAATTTCGGAGATACTTGTTTTTCTTCGGACAGCGATGATATGTGTTGTTTATGTGGACAGCAAACATTTATTTGTTTATCCATTTTAAAAATAATCATAAAATGCATTTTCCACTTGTTTCTACTTGGAGCTTCCTCGAAAACAATACTTTTTGCAACAGTACTGAACTGTGCAATACTTTTCTTCAACAGTATTGATGGAATGGGTTTAGATGGAAATGTGAGATTCATAATCCAGCAAACTGGATTTTCAGGTTTGAAGATGAGCAAACAGGTCAACATATATAAAATGTTTTTACGGAGCTTAAATGCTACTTTTTTGTTGCATCAGTTATAATAATTATTCAATATAATAACAGAATAATTGTTTGTTTGATATGAAGAAAACTGCAGTCGTCTGTTTTATCTCAGCACGATTGAGATAAACAGCAGGGGGGTCTCACCCTCCCCTATCAGCCCTCATTGCTCATTAGCAGCTCAATGCAGAGTCACATCATCTCACATGCAGAGAGACAGTTAATCTCCTAACAGAGTTATGGGGAAACTATTTAATTTGCTTATATTAACTAAAAATATCTGAGTCAATTTCTATTCCGCTGGCAGAATGGACACTGAGGGTCCCCCAAAAAGAGATTAAAGACCCCCACAGCATTAGAATAAATACAAATAAACAGTCCATTGTGACTGTTCTGTGTTGGTAGATTAATCATTTAATCTCTCCAGATTTGGAGGTTCAGAATTTACAGTTACCATCCAGCACTCACTTCATCTAATCAGTCATTCATTAAATTAAATCAAATTAAATGAAGCTGCTGATGGAACTGAACAAATCCATGTGATAGCTGGAGTGCAGGAACCAAACCTGTGGTTTTTTTTTTAATTTTTTTATTGTATTCTTCTAAACAACACAATAATAATAGCGTTTTTATGTAAATAAATCAATATGTTGTACAGTATTTATGTTTATTTGTATTGATTCCAATGTTATAAAGTGTGTTTAATGACAAAACCACACTCGCTGCTTAGATTTGAATCAATTCTCATCAAAAGTCAAAGACAAAAGAAAAGATGCTCTTCATTTTTGCAAAAGGTTTTATTTGTTGTTCCACACCTCAAAGTAATTCATTCAGTAATTTGGTTCAGTTTACCAGGGATGAAGTTTAATGCACAAACAAAATGCACATTTATTATAAGCAACTCTGGTGGAGACCCGTCTCACGACAGGACCAGTAAAGTGCATGTCTCAAACATTTGATGTGACTGTTTTCACTTCACAAGAAATCATTATTGTTGTTCCTCTCATAAACAAATAGTGCAAGTATATTCTTATCAATAGTCACCAAAGGGCAGACGCAGAAACTCTACGGAGAATTGCCATTTATGGCTCTGTGGATCGTCACACTGAGCAATGCGCTGTTAAATTGGAAGAACTGTTCATTTGCTCATCATTGTTCTCATTGTCTTGTATTTTATCAAGCTTTAATAGTGACAGCGAAATAATGCTTGAAAGTCTGATCTGAAATAAGTCACAATTATTTAAGCTCTCCTCAATTATTTTCCACAACTGTTAGCTTTCATATTGTGTGCGTTTCATTTGTTGGGTTGGGGCGAAAGCATGTAAACAAAGTAAAGCAGAAAACATACTTTTATTGAGATCCGCCATGGGTCTTTCAGAAACAACAAAAAAAACCTTAAAATAGTGCTGGAACACCTTTAGAGGGCAGCAGTGAGTGATGTTTGTTTGTTTATTTAATGTTTGTTAATAACACCTTTAGAGGGCGGCAGTGAGTAATGTTTGTTTATTTGATGTTCGGTCATAACACCTTTAGAGGGCAGCGGTCAGTAATGTTTATTTATTAGATGTTTGTTAATAACACCTTTAGAGGGCGGCAGTGAGTAAAGTTTGTTTATTTGATGTTTGGTTATAACACCTTTAGAGGGCAGCGGTCAGTAATGTTTATTTATTAGATGTTTGTTAATAACACCTTTAGAGGGCGGCAGTGAGTAAAGTTTGTTTATTTGATGTTTGGTTATAACACCTTTAGAGGGCGGCGGTGAGTAATGTTTATTTATTAGATGTTTGTTAATAACACCTTTAGAGGGCAGCGGTGAGTAAAGTTTGTTTATTTGATATTTGGTCATAACACCTTTAGAGGGCAGCAGTCAGTAATGTTTGTTTATTTGATGTTCGGTCATAACACCTTTAGAGGGCAGCAGTGAGTAAAGTTTGTTTATCTGATGTTTGTTAATAACACCTTTAGAGGGCAGCAGTGAGTAATGTTTATTTATTAGATGTTTGTTAATAACACCTTTAGAGGGCGGCGGTGAGTAAAGTTTGTTTATTTGACATTTGTTAATAACGTCTTTAGAGGGCGGCGGTGAGTAATGTTTGTTTATTTGACATTTGATAATAACACCTTTGGAGGGCAGCAGTGAGTAATGTTTGTTTATCTGATGTTTGTTAATAACACCTTTGGAGGGCGGCAGTGAGTAATGTTTGTTTATTAGATGTTTGTTAATAACACCTTTAGAGGGCGGCGGTGAGTAAAGTTTGTTTATTTGACATTTGATAATAACACCTTTGGAGGGCAGCAGTGAGTAATGTTTGTTTATCTGATGTTTGTTAATAACACCTTTGGAGGGCGGCAGTGAGTAATGTTTGTTTATTAGATGTTTGTTAATAACACCTTTAGAGGGCGGCGGTGAGTAAAGTTTGTTTATTTGATGTTTGTTAATAACACCTCTAGAGGGCAGCAATGAGTAATTGTGTAATAGTTTAATATGCAGGGCCGTTTGATGCTGTATGCTCTATAAGCAGGTTTATAATACGGTTTAAGGACTCCGAGCCTGTATTTTATAAAATTGCTCTAGTATTGTTTGTCAAAATGCTGATTTTTTTTTTTTAATATTGTTTTTTTTTTTAAGTTTAATTATTTCCTGTTTGCTGAAGAATATGCGGGTTGTCTCTTAGGGTCCCTGAATGCTCAGAAATGACCCTGGCTGCATGTAATGAATAAAAAATGAATGACTGTGACAGGCCTGATTTGAACTTCAAAAAGTTCATGGCTCTCTTCATGACGGTTATGAAAGTTAGCTGTAGTTGGCTGTGCTTTCAAGGAGGAAGTATTACAGCGAGAGAGAAAATGAAAGAGTGGGGGGTTTTTATTTCTGAGATTGTTTCCAGTTCAAAAGGGCTTAAGTGAACTAATTCATAACCTGAACAGCACACAGACACACGTTCTCTCATTACAAAAGGCCAATCTCTTCTATATACAAACATGGACACAATCATTTTAGTGTCTTTATAAAACATCTTAGCAAAATATAGCCAAGGCCTATTTAAATATGCATAAATAGCATGAAAATATTTTCTCCATTTCAGGTCAAACAACAATGACGTACAAGATTCATTCAGATAAAAAGAGGAACCATAATATCAAAAGGGTGGACACCATCCCTGTTTTAATTTCTGTACAAGACAAGCACCTGCAAGACACTTTCAACCGGCAAATTATAGCTGAAAAAGAAAAGATAGAAGACTAAAAGCCTTTAGTCAAGCAATTTAGGAGATTTTAAAAGTATTTAAAAATGTGATTTCAAAAAGACTTTCAAGTTTGTTCTCAAACAGCACATCTTTGGATGTTTTGCAATGTTCAAAAAGTCAAAATACTTTACAACAATTATAGCAACTTCACCATAAGATTATGTAAAACATCATATAAAATATGTACAATAGTGCAGACAAAGCATCGGGTACTAACCAAGGGTAAACTAGAGACGTTGAGAGTAAAATAAAACAAAAAACGTTCTGTTTTTCAGATTTTTTTTCCCCCATTTTGGATTAAATTTTGTTCACTTTCTTATATTTAAGTCAAACATCTTCTGTCATGAAAACATTTTACATTTAAATTTTTTTCTGTGGGTGTTTTTGTTAAAATTCACATTTTTTTCTAAACATTTCTTTTTCTCTTTTTTTTGCATAGACGTACACATACAGTAAGCTTGAACAGGTTAAAATAGCTTGTCTGAAAGCACAATATGACGCAAACATCACTGTCTTTAGCTTATTTCTGATGGAGGTTGTGGAAAGTGTTCTGTCCCTTAGATACCTGACTTACCTGTGAAACTTTGGAATGGAAAAAAAAACAAAAAACTGGATTGCACTTAACAGTCTGTGGGCAGGTGCCACTTCAATTTACCCTTGTTAGCAAACGCAGAAGCATAAACGACCATAAGAATCATAAATACAAATACACATCCAAGATATTAACGCTTTTCGATTATTTAAAATCCCTGTCATCACATTAGGAAGCTGACAATTAAAAAAAAAAAGGAACATCTAAAAATTCAGATATGATTTGCAGAGTCTGTGAAGATGGTGAGAATTTTCTTCTCGTTCCAGGTGAAGCTGAAAAAAAATGAAATCAAAGCAAAGTGTTAAGAGTTTGTGCTCAACAAAAAAGAGTTTGGAGGGTCAGTTTGCGGCCTCGGGGATGGGCGGCGCTCGTTCCAGTCTCATGGTCCAGGGGTCAGGGGTGGCAGGGTAGAAGGGCGGGTGTGGTAGAATGTCCTCCCTGGCCAGGGCGAAGGCAAACACCCCCCTCTTCCTCTCCACCTCCTCTGAGATGAGCTTCCTGTCTGACAGGCTCTCCCTGCTGCTCGCGTCCAAATCCTCCAGCCCCCTCCCGACCGGGGGGCGCGCCTCCGCCAGATGACCCGGCACAGGCGGCCCATGGGCTGGCAGCCGCAGGGTCCTTTCCCCCTGAAGCGCGTGGGGCTCCGGAGGATAGAGGAAGCTGGACGAGCGCCAGGCGGAGGGCTTGCGTCCCCGTCGCGGGCGCGAGACGCGGCAGCTCTGTCGCTTGATGTGTCTGTGCAGGTGGTCGGAGCGGGTGAAGCTCTTGTAGCAGTGCTCGCACTGGTACGGCCGCACGCCTGTGTGAATGCGCAGGTGGTTCTTCAGGTCGTAATTGTGCACGAATTTGGAGTTGCAGTGGAGGCAGATGTAGGGCCGCTCGCCCGTGTGCTTGCGCATGTGGATCTTTAGCTTGTCCTGCCTTGAGAGAGAGAAAGAGAAAGAGAGGGAGAGAGGCAGACAGTGAGTAAACAAGAGGGTTTGGGGTTATCCTTCGACAGTTATGAAAGATAGGGCAGCTTTACGTGACTTTCGTGCCTGAAAAAATCCCTGTTAAACCTCAAGACAAATGGTGCCGAAAGCATCTACCCACATGCGCACACTGGTGGCTTCTTATGGTTAAAAGCAGGCAGGAAAGGATGAAAGGGCACGTATCACTTATTTTATGTGGTATTCCTGATGAGTGATTCAGCAGCTTGAATCATTTCGTTCCTGTCCTTTCTCTGATCAGCTTTTCGTTTTCAGTCTTTTTCACTGAGCCGTCTGTCATCCTGCAGTACAGTGGGTGCCCCTCGAGAAGCGAAATAAAGGTGGTATTTTGTTACATGTGATTACAGTATGGAAACCGCTGTGAAGCTCTAAAGGAGGTTGACCACAGTTGTTTCACAGTTGCATTTGCATGCGTGGGGTGCACTATTTGACAGGCTCTTCTGCTCTCGCACCTTCTCCCTGTGAGACTGACACGGTTGGTCTAGCCGACTCCTCAACCTTCCTGTTATTTGTGCCATTCATTGTCACTGTGCTATATGACTACATGACCTTCAAAAAGGCTTTTGAAAACTTTGATGTAGGACTATGAAGCATGTCCCTAAAAAACCCTTTGAAAGACTCAAGTTGAAGAAGCAATGCTGACATTTTACAACATTTATGTTCCTCTTTAGCATGAGCAATAAAGGCAATTTGCCCACGACAGTGCCCAGATTGTCCTCAGAGGTATGAATGATTAAGCTATTCTTTGCTGTACTACTTTTCCTGCTGCCAACATTTGACCAATATCAGTTGCCAAATTATATTGTTCATTCAGTGTAATTTATTCCTTTAAAAGCCTTGTAATTTAGTTGCTACTATTAATTATTCAGTAACTGCTACAAAAGTAATATGTATGTTATTTAGTTATGAGAGTGAGGCTGCATATGGGCCCTTGCAGTTTAAGGCTAATTCGGTTTTAAGTCAGCGGGTATGACCAGCACTTTGACTTTCACACCTGAGCAACATAGATCTCACCTTCCTGCCGAGTGCATTTTCTGAGTGTGATCACCTGAGACCTGCTTTTAGCTGCCCCATTGAGCGGACCTTTGGCTCACCTGCCCCAGAGTCTGTCCACTTGAGTACTATCTGGCAAGTCTACCATGGTCAGGAGGCGTCTTACCTTGTAAAGCGGACCTCGCAGATGGTGCACATGTAGGGCTTCTCCCCAGTGTGTGTCCGCATGTGCCGAGGTAGTTTTCCCGCACCCTGGATCACTTTGTTGCAGATGGGACACTGCTGCGACGCTTTGGGCTTCAGCTTCCGCTCTTCCTCCAGCTGCCATGGGGGAAACAACGTCCCCAGGTGGGATGCCGAGAGAAAGCTCAGGTAGTTGCGCAGGTCCGCCTCGTCTTTAATCTGGCTGAGCGGAGGCTCAGGGCCCATACCAACCCCGGGGCTCATGAAGTCTTTGAGGAAGTCTTTGTGGAGTAGAGTGTTGGGAAGCTCATCTTTCAGCTCCTCCTTGATGACCTCTTTTTTGATGGCAAGGTCTAGGGGTCCGCTCTCCAGTGGGGCAGAGGGGTAAAGGTGAGGTGGGCGGTGGGGATCCAGGAGCTGGGGGAAGCCTGGGAAATCTGTGGCCCACATTGGGGGATAGAATCCAGGAAGCAGCGAGGAAAAGCCTGTCCCTCTCTCCAGCCCTGGCATCTTTGGGTACAGCCCTTCTTGAAGAAGGGACTCGATGGAAAAGTCTTTCAGCGCTCTGCCTTCCAGTCCCTCTTGCTCTCTGGGTTTGTCACCCTGTAGGGTGTCTGGAGTGTCCGAATTGCATCTCTGGGAGTCAGGGCGGTTTCTGTCTGAGTGGACCTTCTGCTGAGAACTGCAGGGTGGGCTTTCTGCACCTCTCTCTCCCCCCACAGTTTGTCTTTCCTGGTTGTTTGGAACATCTGCTTGTACGGATCGCTCACTGATGTCATCCTCGTCGTCTTTCGACTCATCTCCCGCCTCTTCCACCATTTCATCCTCTTCCTCTTCTTCTTCATCTTCGTCTTCATCCTCCTCTTCATACTCCTCCTCATACCCCTCTCCTTCTCCACCACCGGTGCCTCCTCCCCCTCCTCCTGTGTCCATGATCTCCAAGCACACATTGATGATGCAGGGGATTTCCAGAAGCCGCGCCGCACCCAGGATCTCTTTCACATTAGATGCGGTCACTGTCAGCGTCGATGTGTATGCAAACTCCAAAATTGCTGTCAGTGATTCGGGCGCTACGAAGTCCAGCTCGTAGATGCCATGCTGGCTTGGGTCACCGTCGCCGGTAGCCACAGTGAAAAGCTTTTTGAAATACTGGCTGCATGCAGCCAGCACAGAGCGGTGGGTGCGGTACTCCTGGTCCTTCACCACCAGGACAACGTCACAGAGCAAACCATCGCGCCGCTGCTCATTCAGACTACACAGGACATCACTGCTGTGGTTTGGGAAGGGGATCCCAATCAGGTCTTCCTCACCGTGTGCCATAATTTTGTAGGAATCTGCAGAGGAACGGAGAAGAAACACAGAAAGAAGGAATAGGTGTTACCACTCTTTGTGACATTTGAAGTGCCCGTTATTTGCCCAGATGCCACAACTTTGCTGAATCAAAGTGTACAAATATCAGTGATTAAGAACTTCCTGTGGAGCAGAAACCAGTATCATACAGAGAGACCAGTGATGGATTTATGAGGCCAGTCTTCTTGTTCTCTCTGTCTTGTGGTTTATAGATTCTGCAGTCAGCTTTTCACAAACACCAGATCACAACGTCTGAAGCCTGATAAAGCCAGACTTACCAGTGTTTTATCTACTTTTTTGTGTATTAAGCACATGCAGTAGTCTAGGTGACATTCGGAAAACAAAACACAGGAAGGCAAAGGGGGTCAGGTTCTAGTTTCTAATCTCAAGGAAATAAGTTTGGAGGGCAAGAGTGATTGCACCTCCCCCTAACCCATTTTATATTTTTTCCTTATGACATGTTTATTCAATCAGTACCCTGAGATTCATCATGTTTACTGTTCACCGGTAAATTAATTTTTTTGCAATTAATTTTCTCTATATATATATATATTTTTATTTTTACTCACCTTTGAATGCACATATTGTTTTGTATACAAAATATTTGGTAACACATTTTATTTGACAGCTAACTACATAAGGACACAAGTTCGATTACTTGGGAATGATGCTTCACAACTGTGTTATAGCTTTAGTTGAAGGTCCCTTACATCATACAAAGTCGTGTACTTTAAGTATTTGAGCATTGCTTATGCATGTGTTTATGAAGTCTTTATACGTTTTAAGAAGTCTTTATGCGCCCTTAGCGGGGTCTGATCATAATCTCAACGCAGTTGCCGTACTTCATGCGAAAGACTTGAGCATTGTGAGCGAATTCTTTCTTGCAGAACGGCAGGCGTGGATGAATGAAAGCCGGATTGTACCTGCGTAGTCTGCTGAAAATGTGTACGCTGACTTTATAAGGAGCTGTTTGGCAGCACTGTCCTTCATTCACAGCTATGAATAGAGCATAATCTCAGTGTGTCTGCTGCGGCGGTCACTGCAGGCATTTGGATGGATGCTTTCAGACGCCCAGCCCAAAACCGGGCTTGTTGACTGGCTTTATCTGCTCTGAACGCCGCTCCAACGGCAAAGTACATGAACGCCGGTTTTAAGTCTTTCTCTCTCGCTGCATCTCTTCGGTCTCGATCAAATCTGAGCACTTACCAATCAACTGTTGAATATCCCTTGCACTGTTGCTAGGAGACGGTTGCTATAATTACCAGTTAGACATATAGTCCAGTAAAGAAAAAAAAAAACGTCTTTAAATGAGGAGAACTGTATACCGAACACGACGAGCGGGCTTGGGTGGGGGACTGAGATGTCATTTAGAGAAAAGGAAGAATCGTTCAATAGAGTGATGTGTATGTCTGGACAGGGATGAAGGACGGCGTATTTCTGAACAGCTCTTTCAAAAGTGTGCTGCACTGAGCCATTCAGGCTTATCAGTGTGTCTGGCTTAAGGCAATTTACTGTATGTAATATAATAAATATTGTGGGTATTCCTCTTTAACACATTTCTGTGCTAGTGGGGAGGGAGGGTTGGCTCTTTGCTTGAATTGGCTGCAGCTCAGGCTAGAATTGCAGGCATATTTGCAAACTCAGAAAGGCTGCTAGATGTGGGACGGCAACACTTTTACTCCCTACAGAAAGTCTCTATATTTACTGAGGTGGGCTCAGACTGGTCAAACACAACAGAAGAGAGAAAAAAAAATAAGACAAGAAGAGAAGAAAAATAAGAGAAGAGGAGCGAACGAGGGATCCGATGTCCCCAGAAGTTCCCTGACAGGTTACACCAAAGACGGTGCCCCTCCCTGGAAAATCCAGCCAAGTCAAACAGGCATTTAGAGCTAAAAACAACAGTAGATCCCACCCACTCTGGGAACACGTGCAACCTCTGTTGCTAACTCTCCTCTCCTCCCCTCCCCTGTCCTCACAGATACACTCCCTTAATTATAGAGTGTCTGTATGTGTATGTGTGTGTGTGTGTGTGTGTGTGTAGGATAAGGGCAGGATGTGACACATGCTCAAAGAGGGAAGGAGGGCACTGCTTTCCCACTGTAACGTCCTACAGGGCTACCACCACGGACTCAAACACACCCCAAAGCGCTGCTGACTAACTGCTTTAACCCTTCGGACCTGAGATCACCAAGAAGGCCTGCCAGTAAAGTCCTTTCTGGCTTGAACCAGAGCTGAAGCCTTATTCTGCTGGCCCCCAGTGGCCATCCATTCCATTACTCACATATTAATATAGTAATTAAAATAAAATATTTCCCCCGTAACTCTGTTATCTGATTGATTTATTTAAGGCTGGAGCTGTCTATCGTTTTATCTGCTAATATAATTTTCCATTAGTATTGTGATTTCTCAGTGCAGTTTCTCAATTTAGATTTAAAGAATGTGATTTAGTCTAAAATTCACGGCACATCCAACAAGAAAGGAAGCCTTGTGCATCTTTTATATCGTGATAGGAAACATGAAAGCACATAGAAAGCTCTAGTTCTACATGCTGAAATTGCTTAGATGACTTGCCAATGGCAACATGCACGCAACAGTGGCAGATTAAAATGAGCAGCTTTCTTCCTTTTGGGTCTGACACGGGTCTGTCAGGTTCGTGTGGTTAATTAGCACACTCTTGCCTCTCTGTGTGTGAAATATTAAGCTGCTAGCGTGCAACGGTGGGTTAAAGGGACCCCCTGCTGTTAAAACAAAGATAAAGGAAAAGGTGGAATTGACAGCACAGCTGTAGCTTTCTTTCTTGATTGTGTACAACTGCCGCAATGAAAACACTTTCATATGTGTTGACTCACTTATGAACATGAATATCTGGTTTGATTCCGTAATCTTACATTTTCCATCAAAATATCGCTGCTCGTATCTCGTATCTCCGTTTTTGTCATTTTTCAGTTTTTGACATAATTTGAAAAGACCAGTTGCCCTTTTCATGTAAATATCATGATGAATGGACCAAAAGAAATGGCCCACAATTACTTGGACCAGAAGTCTGGCTCTGTTGATTTACATTAAGATTAAAGCGTTTTTTCCTTCTGTTTAAAGTTCTAATTGTGGAAATATGAGGTTTTGTTCCAACAGCGGTGATCAACCCCAACAGAGGGGTTCTAAGAGAACTACGTTTGGGTCCTTACAGAATCGTGTCTGAAAAAAAATTCTTGTGTGATGAACCTTTTAAATGTTCTCAGTTTAGTTTTCCTTCAAACAGTTATAATAATAGTTCTCCAAATAACCATCCTTTGAAAAATTTTCAAGAAACCCAAAGTGGTTCTTCTGTGGCACCACATGAAGAACCCTTGTGGGCACCTTCATTTTTAAGACAGGTGTATAATTTGATTGGCTAGTTGAGAGTGGCAGGAAAAACACATCTCTCTGTTAAAGCCTTACTGTAATCTTACAGTAATCTGCACATTATGGCAAGTAACCATTTACTGCTGTTCTATCACTCAACATGTAATTACAGGAGCCCATCATATGGCTTACTGATTTAGGACCACCACAGCCATTGAGAAAGTCCATCACTACAGTATGTATTGTGGTGTAGACCAACGTTAGGCCTACACAGTACTACTACACTCTCAAAATACATGGTTATTCAAGGGTTCTTAAGTAAAGAAAATGGTTCATAAAGAACCATGAACACTTAAAAAGCCCTTTGCATGATTAAAGGGTTCTTTGCATCATGAAAAGGTTCTTCGGATTGTTAGAGAATGTGCTGTAGATGGTTCTATATAGCACCAAAAAGAGTGATGTCAAGCCTGTAACAGTAGGAGAACCCTTTATTGGTGCTATATGGAACCATTTCTTAAGAAACCTTGAAGAACCATCTTTTTTAAGTGTGTACAGTGCTGTACCTCCAGTTATGAACCCTGCCAATCTTTGCACAATGTGTAATTTTAATATTTTTCAGATTTTGATTAGTTTGAACACAGATTTTTTTACGTTATACTGAGATATTTCAGCCACTGTCTGTTTTTCTTCTATAACCGGGTTCTCTATAATCCAGAAATTATGAGTAATAATCTCTGATGACTTCTGAAAGCCGAAACACGAACACTGAGGTTACCTCAAAACCTAAATGTCACTTAATTGAGTAAAAACACAAGTAACGTCTCCGGCAGGTGCTGCCTTTGATCTCTGGAAATAACATATACTCTTCTCTGTTAAGCTTATTGAGGACAAAGAACCTCAAACGCTTCCATAGAGGCAAATACTTCAAGAGCGAGCGCTTGTTTTTTTGCTTCTGCTGCTGGATCGTTTTTAAAAGCATATAACAGGTGAATGTAATGGACGAGTGTCGCTAATCAGCTTCGAGTAAAGTTAAGACCAAAACTACCAAAAGAAAAAGTTAAAACAGTCCACATATCTCAGACATATTTCATCATATCTCAAGGTGCCGGAGACACAAGGGTGTTGACAGACACAGGAGGGAGAAAGACAGACAGCGTTACAGACAGACACGAGAGAGAGATAGAGTTACGGACCGACAGGAGAGAGAGAGAGAGAGAGAGGGAGAGAGAGAGGGAGAGAGAATGAACAGACGTGTATTAGGCTGCACCTGAATGTGAGGAAAAGCTGGTGGTAAATTGGCTCAATCCAGCGCTGGGTTAGTGGGTCCTAAGGGAGATCATTTGAGGGCCTTTCCAAAGGCTGAGCTGGAGGGTGACCTGTAGGTTCAGTCTGCTAGCCGTTAGCATAGACACTTATTTAGACTGTTTACAGCCACTAGGTGCTCGCCGGCGTCTTAGCAATGGCTCTGCAATAATTGAACAGATGGTTCTGGATTTGGATTCTCCACTTTGTTGATGTGTCTCTCAGACAGAGGAGACAAGCACTGTGGTAATGACAGGTGTAACACGGGTAATGAGCGACTCTGCTGCCGTTCGGTAACAGCAGATGAATCTTAACTGGCCTGTTTCTGCAGCATTTGAGG